GTGACTATGGGGAATACCATGGCTTTGACTATGTTGCCAGTGTGATGTCTCTGCTCTTTACTATTTTATCGAGACTGGACATTGCTCTCCTCCAAGAAGTAAGCGTCTCCTGATTTCCTGGCTGCAGTCTGCGTCTGCAGACATCTTTGCACCTAGAAATACAAAGTCTGTCACTGCCTCCACATTTTCTCCCTCTATTTCCCAGTTGTCAGTCATTCTTGTTGCCATAATCTTGGGTTTTTTTATGTTTAACTGCAACTCAGCTTTTGCACTTTCTTCTTTCACCTTGGTTAGAAGGCTCCTCAGCTCCTCCTCACTTTCGGCCATCAAAGTGGTGTCATCTGCATATCTAAGGCTGTTAATGTTTCTTCCAGCAATTGTTTTGTTAATTATCTTGATAAAGGCACTCAGCTAGCAGGATCCATCATAGTATTGTGCACCCTAAGTTATATCAGAGCTGTAGTTGGTGATTCCCCTGCTCTATTTCCTCTTTCTGTCTGACTCCAAGGAAATTTTTTCAATGCTAAACCAGTGTCTGTTATCAGTAATGGATCGAATGAGACCAAACAAGTTGAAGTTCAATCAGAGATGCTAGATCAATCAGAGATGCTCTTGGCAAGTCAGGACCAGAATCTAAATGACCTTAGTATAATCAGAGAGCTGGAGACAAACATGAATTTCGGCAAGGAAAAATGTAAGAAGACATGAATTGCACAGATTGAGGATGGTTACAAACACGTTTGACAACAGTCTGTGTGAAATTGCCTTTGCGGGAGGACATCTCAGTTACATTTAAACAGGGATTTCGTTTTTAATGGGATTTGCACTAGGAATTGGTAAATCTTAATCCGCTTTTAATTGTTTTAAACCAATAGCTTATTCAAGAGGATTGTATTGAATACTTCTTTAAAAAATATTCGTCTGTGGGTTTCTATGGCTCAATGGGAATTCGAACCCACATGATCACATCACATTGGCTTTCAAAAGCAGGATGTGTTTTTGTTTGCTTTCAAATTAGTTCTTACTTATGGCAACCCTAAGGCGAATCTCTTATGTGGTTTTATTCACAGTGTTTATTTATTTATCATTTATTTACAGCATTTATATTCTGCCCTTCTCACCCCGAAGAGAAATCAGTATGAATAATAGAACATATACTCGTCAAACAGTGTTTCTCAACTGGGGGGGGGGGGGCCGGACCCCTGGGGGGGATGCAAGGGGGTGTCAGAAAGGTCACCAAAGACCACCAGAAAACACAGTATTTTCTGTTGGTCATGGGTTCTGTGTGGGAAGTTTGGCCCAATTCTATCGTTGGTGGGGTTCAGAATGCTCTTTGATTGTAGGTGAACTATAAATCCCAGCAACTACAACTCCCAAATGTCAAGGTCTATTTTCCCCTAAACTCCACCAGTGTTCATATTTGGGCATATGTGCCAAGTTTGGTCCAGATCCATCATTGTTTGAGTCCACAGTGTTCTCTGGGTATAGCTGAACTACAATTCCAAAACTCAAGGTCAATGCCCATCAAACCCTTCTAGCATTTTATGTTAGTCATGGGAGTTCTGTGCACTAAGTTTGGTTCAATTCCATCGTTGGTGGAGTGCAAAATGCTCTCTGATTGTAGGTGAACTATAAATCCCAGCAACTACAACTCCCATATGACAAAAATCAACCCCCCCAAGCCCACCAGTATTGAAATTGGGGTGTATCAGGTATTTGTGTCAAATTTGGTCCAATGAATGAGAATACATCTTACATATCAGATATTTATGTTATGATTCGCAACAGTAGCAAAATACAGTTAGGAAGCAGCAATGAAAATAATTTTATGGTTGGGGGTCACCACAACATGAGGAACTGTATTAAGGGGCCGCAGCATTAGGAAGGTTGAGAACCACTGTGTTAGACAGACAACAGATAGAGGCATTTCTTTCCCCCAACTTCGGTGACCTGGAGGTTGTGCTCGATTCTGACCACAGGGGGTGCTGTCGCTCCATCCTCTATGACCAAGAGCCTTTGATCACAGACTTCCTCCATTCTTTGATCGCTAACATTTTCTAGTACTGTCTGTCTATAGTGCCGTAAAATATCTCTCCACTTAAGAGGTGCCTAATTTTTCTACTCACAGCTGTTTTTGAACTGCTTAGGTTGACAGTGAGCTGGGATGAAGGTCGGGTGCTTATCCCAACCTGAGCTTTGAACTGCCAAACTTTTGATTGGTGTAATCTTATTGCTGCTGGTGACTAACCAGCTGTGGTAAAGCCCGGCCCTTTTTTTTGTTCAAAATGAGTTTGTCTTTGTATTCCCCTGAGGCCGAGCGTGATTTGACCACAGTTGCTCAGTGGGTTTCTATGGTTTCAAACCATGATCTCTAGTACCTTTTACTTAGGTGATTCCTTGTAGCTCAAGGATGATTGTCTTCCAGATGTGGTGTCTTGGCAGTGGGTCCATAGGTGGCTGTGGAGCCCTATTCTTGATCCGCATGTTCTCCCACAGTGAGGACATTGGTTTTTCGAGACGGAAGGTGAAGCCGGTCAGAGTTGGCTTGATGTGCCTTCCTCTTGGCATGTTTCACCCTCCATTTGTAACTCTTTGAATTCTGCAGCACTGCTGGTCACAGCTGACCTCCAGTGAGAGCACTCAAGGGCCAGGCCTTCCCAGTTCTCAGTGTCTATGCCAGTTTTTGAGGTTGGCTTTAAGCCTATCTTTAAATCTCTTTTCCTGTCCACTGACATTTTGTTCCCGTTCTTGAGTTCAAAGTAAAATAACTGCTTTGGGAGATGGTGATCGGGCATTCCATAGTCTAACCCGCAAACCACTACACTACACTGACACAAGTATTATATAAAGATCGCAATGTAATTTTTAGAAACTAGCTTTTTTTCTAAAAGGCTAGTTTCAGACCTTAAACTGGAGGTCAAACCAGATTCATATTAGTAGTTCTTTTGGCGGGGAAATGGGTGCTGAAAAGCAGGATAGAAATCCACTGAATCAATAAAAAAGCATCTCAGTTGCCCCAGGCCGGTTGGACTAATTACTCTCGGCTCTCACTGTGCCATTTATTATTTATCCAACCACATAGCTTGGAATGTAAAGCCATAAAAATAATCCAAACAGAGTAAAAAACACATCAAACCATTAAATCTTACATCTGTTTAAGATAACACGTGAGGTATATATATGGTAACCCATCTGCATTCAGTGGTGTTAGGTGAGCAGACCCCCGTGAAAGGGGGGAAACCCATAAATAAGAGAGACTGCATCACTGACAAAGAGCCAAGTCTGGCTGATGTTGCCTGCGGACAAAGGTCCTATCTACATCACCAAATCATGCAGATTGACACTGTCATGTAAACAGGGAACTCATTCACTCACTTCATGTTCTCCACATTGCGTCCCCGGATGGCGCAGATGGGGATGACGATGACAGCCAAGAAGAGGATGTAGCTATTGTAGAACGCCATCTTGCAGAAGTACTTGAAGGTGGTGCTCCATTCGTAAAGAAGGGGGACGACCACCAGGATCAGGATGAGGATCCATTGGCCCAGCGAGATCTCCATTGTCCCTGTTGGGAGACAGAAGAAGATGGAAGCCGTCAGAACAGAAGATCTAGTAAAACACAGGACTTGGAAACATTCTCTTTCTGGATAAAATCTCACAGAACTCCCTAGTTAGCATGGACTTAGGTTGCATCTATACAGTCGATTTAATGTAGTATGATGCCACTTTAACTGCCATGGCTCGATGCTATGCAACCATGAATGTTTGCACTTTTGCAAGATGGTTAGCTTTACAAGGACCCAACAACAACAACTCCAAGAATTCCATTGCATTTAGTCATGGCAATGAAAACACAAGGAGTCCCCGACTTACAAACAACTCTTAGTTAAGAATGGGGGTGGGACAACAGAGAGTGAGAGAAATCTACCCCTTGGAAGGGAAAATCACTCCTGAAAAAGTTATTATCATGGGGAAAATGGGTCTCCACTGCAGCTTTCTCACCAATCCTTGTTTCCACAACAAGCCACACTTCTCAAAATCCAGTTCCCACAGGGACAGAAAGTGAAGTGAAATCTTCTGAACTGTTTTGTTGTGTGTTTGTTTTGTACACACAACAAAACAAACACCACAGGGGTGTTAAGCTTTTCCTGTGTTATGCAAAGCATGCATCCATCTACCAAGGTGCTTGTTTACAAAGCTATTTTCTTCCCAACCCTGTTATATGCCTGTGAAACGTGGCATATAGACACCACACTCACCATCTTCCAAAGCAGTTACTATACTCCGAATTCAAGAACAGAAAACTGAATTTTGGTGCACAGGAAAAGAGACTTAAAAATGGGCTTAAAGCTAACAATTTTTTTTATTATTATTATTGAAGGAAAAGTTGACAAGGAAAAGACCTTGATATAGCTCACAAATGGAACACCGAAGAAGGAGACAGAAGGCCTGATTCTTGCAGCCCAGGAGCAAGCCATCAGAACCAATGCGATTTATTTATTTATTGTGTCATCCGCAACCAGAACATTGTATTACATTTCTAACAGAATAAAACAAACAAATAGATAAAAAAACCACAAATTTTGCAAACTTGGTAGCTGATTAAATGTCCTTTGACCAGTATCTGGCCACTTGGAGTGCCTCTGGTGTTGCCGCTATTAATACCAATGCCATTAAGGCCAGGATTGAAAAATCAGCTGATGACCCAAAATGCAGACTGTGCAAAGAAGCTGATGAAACCATGGATCATCTCCTCAGCTGCTGCAAGAAAATTGCACAGACGGACTACAAACAGAGGCACAACTCTGTGGCCCAGATGATTCACTGGAACTTATGTCACAAGTACCATCTGCCAGCAGTAAAGAATTGGTGGGATCATAAACTCCCAAAGGTCGTGGGAAATGAACATGCAAAAATACTGTGGGACTTTCAAATCCAGACTGACAAAGTTTTGGAACACAATACACCAGACATCACGATTGTGGAAAAGAAAAAAAAAATGGATTATTGATGTCACCATACCAGGTGACAGTCGCATTGAGGAAAACCAACAGGAAAAACATTATCAGGACCTCAAAATCGAACTGCAAAGGCTCTTACATGCCTGATCTACACTGTAGAATCATTGCAGTTTGACACCACTTTAACTGCAGCACTGAATGCTATGGGAATCCTAGGAGCTGTAGTTGTACAATATATTTAGCCTTCCTGCAAAAGAGGGCTTGGGCCTCACCAAACTATAACTTCTAGGTTTCCACAGCACAGAGCTATGGGGATTAAAGTAGTGTCAAACTGCAATAATCATGTAGTACAGTTGCATCCTTTGTCTCTAAGATGCTACACGGTCCCTTTGCACACTGATATTCCAGACTAACACAGCTATTGTGTTGAAATAAAATGTCTTTTATGTGGTTTACAAAAAAAGGAGAGACATGTAATACAATATGGAAACACTACGGACGTTTCAGAATCATTTCAAAGGTAATAAATATTTTAGAACAAATACTAGAGAGTCAAATTACAGGCCAAACAGTTCCTGTTTACCAAAAAATAGGACTTCTTGCCATATTTTGTAATGACTGTGAGGCATTGCATCATAACGATCTGATCATATGTTTTAAGTTTTGCTGAAAGACTAATATTAATAGGCGAGATCTCCTCTCAAGCTTGGTATACAAACATTGGGAAACCAAGGCGATGAAAAAGCCGAGACCTCTTGTCCAAGATGATAGACGTAAGCAGACAGATCTAAGGTTTCTTTTCAATATGATTCCCTTTTATTAATTTCAGGGATGACAGTGCGGAGTTTCCACCTCCTCCACAGTCACATTTGGACCTGTGGAGAGATGCTTTGGTTGTATGGGAAATGCATTTTCTCATGCTGTGAAGTTATGAATCAAAGTTTTCGTCTGCACCTTGGAAATTCTTCTTTTGCAGGAAATAACACGCAATACCTGGTGAGTTTCTTGTCTGCTGAGTGGTTTTGAGGAAATAGTGTAGTAATGGTGAGGCCATGGATCATATTTCTGTTCTTGCGGACCACTGGTGATCCACAGATCACAGGTTGGGAACCACTGGGTTAAACCTTTGTGCCAGCTGAACTGCTGACCTGAAGGTCGGCGGTTCGAATCTGTGAGACAGAGTGAGCTCCCATCTGTCAGCTCCAGCTGACAGATGGGGACAATGAGAGAATCCTCCCAGAGAATGGTAACACATCCAGCCGTCCCCTGGGCAACATCTCTGCAGACGGCCAATTCTCTCACACCAGAAGTGACTTGCAGCTTCTCAAGTTGCTTCTGACAAAAAAAACCCCTCAACAACAAGTTATTCTTGAGCAAATATCAAATCAGCAAATAATCAAATCCACAAAAGTAAAACCTGCAAGCATGGAAGGCTGACTATATTCAAATCGGACTCTCCCCTCACCCAATACATCAGGCAATATATTAACATCCTTTCAGGGTTTCTGAATTTTCTTCATAACATCTAAATAATGCATGGTGCATGCTATTAAGCTGTCATGTCCTCTTGCACATGTTGCTTCAATAATAATGTTGCCTGCCTTCAAGTCATTTTCAATATATTCAGACCTTATGGCAAACCAATCCTAATTTTTTCTTGGCAAGGTTAGTACAGAAGGGCTTCAGCGTGGCTTTCCTCTGAGGCCAAGAGAATGTGACCCCTCCAAGATCACCTAATGGGTTTCCATGGTCAAATCGTGATTTGATCCTTAGTCTCCAAAGTTGTAGTGCAGCGTTCAAACCACAACACCTTGCTGTTTCTCTTTATTCACCCTTTTTGCCATTGATATATGTAGCATTTTAATGATTTATAGGATTTTATTGTGTATTTTATATTGTATTTGATAATCTGGTGTTCATGTATTTATTTATTTATTTATTTGCCTTGCCTTGTTGTGCAAACACCCCTGTTGTTAGTTCTGGGACTGCTGCACTTTGGCTTCATTTAAAAGGTGGAAGGGGAAGTTAACATGTTTGAAGAGCTGGCCCTGGCTTCTGAATGAAAAACATCCAAAAGTTGCTAAAATAGTTACTCAATTAAATAATACGCTATACTTAATTGTATAAAACTCCCTGTTTAGAGGAGTTCTTTTGTAGTTACTTCTTGCTTCTTTGCCTCCATTTACGTATCCGAAGGATTTGATCAAGTAGTTACAAATCTATATAAATAAAAATGTAATGTTAGTTTGTGGAATTAACGTAATTCAAAAACCATTGGACGAATTGACACCAAATTTGGGCCAAATCTGGACACAATACATCTATCAGTCCAACAAGTGACCATCACTCATAAAAACACTGAAAAACACAGAAGAGATTTAAAAAGCCAAAAAATAAAAAATACATTACAACGCAGGCACAAAACCACACACACACACACACATATACGCAAACGCACATATATACACATATACACAAATATATATACACATATACACAATTATACACACACAAAACACATATACACAGGGCCACAGCAATGCATGGCAGGGGACGGCTAGTACTACTCTCTCTTTCTCTCTCTCTCTCTCTCTCTCAATCTCTCTCTCTCTATATATGCATTATTATTTTCCCCCCTTAGATATTGAAGTCTTATAACAGGAGTGTCAAGCTCACTTTCACTAATGGCCACATCAGCCTTATAGTTGCCTTCAAAGGGCCGTTGAATCCATGGATGGAGAATCTGTGGATACAGAGGGCCAGCGATAATTGCTTTTGTATGGTGTTTGGTGTTCTTTAGCTTGGTTTGATTCCCCAGATGTTAAAGAATGACAACTCCCTTCAGTTTTGATTATTTTTTTTATTTTTATTTTTTTTTTTTTGTCATGTCAGGAGCGACCTGAGAAACTGAAAGTCACTTCTGGTGTGAGAGAATTGGCCATCTGCAAGGACGTTGCCCAGGGGATGCCCGGATGATTTGATGTTTTATCATCCTTGTGGGAGGCTTCTCTCATGTCCCAGCATGAGGAGCTGGATCTGATAAAGGGAGCTCATCCACCTCTCCCCGGATTCAAACCTGTGACCTGTTGGTCTTCAGTCCTGCCGGCACAGGGGTTTAACCTACTGCGCCGCCGGGGGCTCCAGTTTTGATTATTCATCATGCAGACTGGATATAATGGGAATTACAACCCGATAGCACTTGTGGCTCTGAAGTTGGAGAAGGGCTAAAGGACATTTTAAAGCCTGACATCAAATCCACAAGCCTTGCATATATATATTCAAACCCCATTATCTTGACTAAACAGAACAAACTGCAGCCTTCCAGGTGTTAGTGTATCACAATACCCATCAGCTCTAGTCATGATGTCTAAGTATGAGGAAAACGGTTGTAATCCAACATTCAGATAACATATCCAACACGAATATGATAAATATTTAAATATGGTTATCCTATCTCCTTTCAAACTTCTCTTCAGTAGGAATGTGCATCTTTACATTATGCTGACGTTTCCCTTTAAGAGCTTTGCGTCTAACCACAATGCAAAGCAGAACATGTGTGTAGGTTGGTCTGGCCTAGGGGAGAATGCAAAGCCCCAACAGAACA